TTCTGACATGCCTTCGACTACTTCGCGACAGTCTTCCGAACTTTTTTCCGCGAGCGCTTGATGGCAGTGAATTCAACGAGGAGGGATGCGCCGATGCGCGTGCGACATGCGCGAAGTGCGCACAGTTTGTCCACACGAGCCCTTTTCTCACAGGATTAGCCGAGGCAGCAGCCGTGAGCTGTTTCATCTGGCTTTCGATGTTGCTCACGCACTCGGAAGATGGCCGTTCCGGCGACCTGGACTGCTCCATCTGCGTCGACATCTGAATATCAGTTCTCAAGGGCGCCACGAGGCGGCTGCGATCTTCACAGCCTTGAAAAAGATGGCGATGCACGGGAGGAGAAGTCAACCGAGGCTGAAGCGATTTAGAAGCCAAGGTCAACTTCTACCTACCCCAGCACTGGAGGGTGTGGATAACACACGCACCAACGTTCTGGCCTGCGTCACCTGTCGTTCCAGGGATTCCTCAGAAACGCACCCCGCCCGCGCCGCCCGCCGTCCCCCAGAGCTGCAAGGCTTCCTACAAGTTGCGCAGCGTTGCGGGAGGACCGTGTCCAGGTTTCAAGCCAAGGAGCCAAACCAGAGCGACGTCCCCCGCTGCGTCGAGCCTCGAGCGGCTGGGGGCTCTGACACCGGCTCTGTCGATGGTGCCTGGACCATCCCAGACTCCCACTTGGCCGGCGGCTCGGGACTCTCGGCGCTCATTCCGGAGGGCCTCGCACTACACAGGCCATGGCAGGCTGGCTTGACTGTGAGCATCTGTGAGTAGCTTGGCATGGCGACATGCCTCTCTGTCAACCGGGAGGCTTGCCTGCACGAGGAGATGCTTTCTTGGCATGACATGCAGGAAACGCCGGCATGCGAAAAAGAAGGCTCAACACCGTCTTCGATAACATGACAAATCGCGGGGTGCCCTCGCCTGGCACAGCGGCACCACGCGAGGGGACGGAGCCTGGGAAGTGCAGGGGCATGCCAGCGATCACGGATGCTTCTTTTTCTGGCTGTGCCGGGCCCTGGCAACAGAAGGCAAACGCGGAGGTAGACCGTCACGGCCTGCCGAACAATGCAGTGCTCACCGGCCGATTCACAACTGCGCACATCGCAGCCAAGCTGCTCGTGATGGCCTGAGGTTACCGACGCCGAAGCAGGGTTTGGCAGGCTTGCATGCGCATGTGCAGGCGACATGTCAATGCACTGCAGGCGGGCGGCGCCGACGAACCGCACTGGCGTCTTGGAGCGGATGTAGATGGTGCGCCTTAGGGCTGGAGGCTGCGGAGATCTGCAGAGACTTCTTGCCACCTTGCCAGCCCTCTTGGAGCCCCTTTGGGCCGCACAGATGCTGCGCTGGACCTGTGCGATCAAGTGTCTCGGAACATCAACACACCGTTCAGCAAAAATCCTGGGTTGCAAGCTACGGGTTCGGCTGACCTGAGACCGTATGGCACGCATGCAGTAAGTCAGCAGGTCTAGAAGAGACGAGGAACCTCAAGTTGCAGTTTTTACAGAAAAGACCTTGCAAGGGGCTTTATAGGCAGCTGCATTGTCATTCCAACTAGCTTGGATCTGTTTGGAAGATCCGCCGAGTCGCCACCACAGGCACGGACGATGCTCTTGGCAAAGGGATACCATGGCTCGGCACAAGCGGCGCCATCATCAACAAAACAGCAGAGCGCACTGTTCACGGAACAGACGTCGTGTCGCAGAGCTGCTGCCACAGGAGCCTAGAATCGAGCCCAGGCAGCAGAATCAGCATCTTCAGGCACGACAACCTCACAGTCTGCTTGGGATGCTCTCACAGCACACCTTCAAGAAAGGAGCATGCAGAGCTCCTCTTTTCGCGCCTAGCTCGCATGCAGTGGGTGGTAAGGAGGTAACCTGGATGATAGTTATGCATGTTATGTCATATAGACTATATAGTAGTAGTCTACGGGCACATCCTTCGCTAGGCCACTGCTAGGCTCCCTTCAAGGATGCAGCTCCATATTGAAAGAGTGCAGTGAAGCTGGCTTCTCGGAAATTGCTCCCAACTCGATAGCAAACCCCATGCTTTGCAACAACTCCATTCGTCATCTGAACCCTGAATCCAGACACGTTCACTTGACCTGCTTCCGATTGCATGCGTCCCTCTTTTCTTGCGCAGGCTGCTCGATGGGCTCGTGACCCAAAGTCATAAAAGCGCTGCCGACCTTGCCCTTTCTTCTCATGAAACGGCGCGACTTGCCTGTACATGGGTCTGCATGCGCTTTCTTGCCAGGACATCAGGCCGCAGCGGGCACCGTCTGTTTTGACTCCTGCCAAAGCCTGGGCTGCACAGCAGTGGAGACAACGCAGCAAAAACATCCACTTCATGGCCTTTGCAAAAACACCCTGCGATGCATTGGAATCACAATCATTCTCTGGGAGAGATGCTGCTCCACACGAGGCATGAAGCAGGGGATTCGTAAAGAGTTGGCACCCTGAGCAACAGTGAGATCCCAAGCAGACGGGCACCTGTCGTTTCGGCCTCCGTGCAGCCAGGCCGCTTTTCCGCAAATGGCTTCAGCCAGCTTGTGGCACGCTTGAGACACTTCCTTCGCTCACAAAGACGCTTCATATCATGTCGACGCTTTTTGGGAGCAACGAATCTCACGAGTTGCGTACATGCACATGATCTGACAAGTATTTCCCTGCAGATTCACAGGCCCCAGAGCTGATGCAAGAAACGACCAAGTTCCACAACTAACAAGCCGAAGGTACACCGAAAGTTCATGGCGTGGCATTTGCAGCCAAGCCTCCGGGCGCCATACTCTACAAGCCACTCTGGCATCAGCTTGGAAGCATGCGCGTAGACCTGGGCAACTCGCGACCCCAAATGTCACGATGCAAATGGCGACTGTTCGAAGGAGATGGAGCAAAACAGGTGCTTGGAAGCGCATTGCCCGACAAGTTCCGAGACACCTTCAAGCAAGAGCTGAGCCCAAAACACGGAAAACAACTCGGCACTCTCCGGGGTTCTGCCGGCACGGAACGACTTGCCAGAAACCGGAGGCCTGCGAATTGAGCCGCAGGGCTTTTCTTCTGACGCTAAGCTGGTGATGTTTGTGATGCGTAGGAAACTTGTGTCACTGGGAACTGCCAGAAGTAGAGGTATGTACTATAGTATAGTTCCAATAAGGAACCCTGAGAGACAAAGGATTTGAATGGGATTGGTGCGCGCCAGCCTCTCGAAGCACAAGGCCTGTCGCGTCTGGATCTATGTCGAAGCTTACGCGACCGCGCCGCTGGTCCACATGGTGCACCTGAACAGATCCGGGAAAGCGAAGCCAACACACCGATGTCTCTGATGCCTGCTTTTGCAAAAAGATCCCGGACTTCGAGTCATCAAAAACACAGAACTGACTCGCATTTTCTCATCAACCTTGTCAACTTCTGGGCACCCGGACCGCAGGAATCTCGAACCAGAATCTCCTGGGCTTACGAATAGGATTTACTTGCGCACAGACACATGCTGACCTGTGGCAACGCAACTTCCCAGAGCTTCTCAGCAGAGGCGCGTTATTCTGTAGGTGCACTTGGCGACCGTTGCAGCATCTGCTGCTGGCGACATGGAGCTCACTTCTGCCGCACGGATGGCGGACATCATGTCGGGGTACTGCCTCGGGTGTGCAACTCGACAGCTGATGGATCAGCAAGGAACGAGTTTTAGGGCTTGCTCATTTTGATATCGGAGACCGGAGGGTGCCAGATCTTCCCTGCTAAGCCCCTGGCCGGAAGTTGCTTAAGCAACGTAACACCACGTGATCTGGAGCTCGGACATTGATCCGCACCAGACCCCATCCTCCCAGGCGACCGGAAGCTAAAGCTCTCTCTGGCAAACTCGGAATCCCACGAGCCATCAGGCTGTGAGGGAGGCGCGGCGTTGATGCCCAGCTCTGCTACAAAACCGGTCCTCGACTGCCCAGCTGCCTTGGTATCCGACACTCAGCAGCCAAGACGGGCGTTGAAATGCGTGACCCAGGGACGACGCATCTAGCACCTCCATGGCTGAACTGCCCTGGACCCACCAGAGTCTGCGGACAGCCAAGTTGCGCCTGCTTCTGGACGCGGCCAGCATCTCGGAGCACTTGATGCTCCTCTGCAGTAAGATCCCACAGCTGCCTGGCACAGCGCGCAGTCCAGTAACCCACTTCATGCCTCGTTTTAGGTGGTTAAAACAACTAAACAAACGACAAATAAAACCATTCGGACCACTTAGAGAAGCAAAAAAAAGGAGGACTACTGAAATTCTTTGAGACAAGAGAAGCATTTATGAACAGCCTGTGCTCTAAGGTTCAATTTAAAAAATTGATTTCCTAGATTCCATTTGTGTCATTGTATGTGATTTCCAAGCCCATCTGCAACCAACTGTCCTCATTATCCAAGCACCAGATTCGACATGATTAACAACTACCGAAAAACGAGTCACAATCGGCAGGACGGCCCAGCAGTAACCATCACTGCCTCCGGTCCCTAAGATCGTCCCACTCTTTTGCGGTCTGGGCCTCGGGAAGTTCTTCGCTTCCAACCAAGCATCGCCCCTGGCCCGTGGAGCGGATATCAATTGTCAATTGAGGTCAACATGTTCGGAAGGCAACCTCGCAAAAGTAGCGGGCTGTAGCAGCAGCACTAGCAGTTGAAGTAGTCGTCGTCGTAGTCGTCGTAGTCGTCGTCTTCGCCGTAGTAAAGCAGTAGTTAGTAGTCGTCGTCGTACTCGTAGATTTAGCCGTACTTGCTCTAAACCATCTCAAGAGCACATCCGTTTTACTTAGTATTTACAGCACTTTCGTCATGTACGATCATCATAAGAAGCCTCAAAATCGACTTGCCGAGTTTGCAAACTCGGCCTCTTGATTTTGGACTTGCTTCTGGGGGGGGGATGATGACGACAGTGATACGCAAAACACAACCAACAATATCACCACAAGAGCCGTTTTACTGGGTATTTTCTGTACTTTCGTGATGTCGTACTTTCTTTTTTATTGCCACCCCTACTTCTGGACTGAGCATCTTAAACTTTGGTGTCTCGAACTTTGCAGCGAAAACTCGAAATTGGATGGGGGAAAGCTATTCCTCGGTATTTACAGTACTTTCGCACACAGCCCCGCTTTTGCTCGGTATTTACAGTACTTTTGGTGATGTTGGTGATGAAAGGTGTTTGATTTTTCGTGATGTCGGTGGCGAAATGTGTTTGCTTTCGTGAGCACACAACATCGCTTTTACAATGATGTTGGTGATGATATGTGTTTGCTTTTTCGTGATGTTGGTGGTGATGATGTGGATGACAATGACGAAGTCTAGTTGGTAGAGCGGGGTGGGTAGTAGTAGTAATAGTAGTAGTAGTAGTAGTAGTCGTCGTCGTCGTCGTCGTCGTAGGAGTAATAGTAGCAGTAGCAGTGGTGGTAGTAGTAGTAGTAGTAGTAGTAGTAGTAGAAGTGGTGGCGGTGGTAGTGGTGGTGGTGGCGGTGGTGGTAGTTGCGGTCGGAATAGTAGTAGTAGTAGTAGTAGTAGCAGTAGTAGTAGTAGTAGGTGGAGCAGATTGGAGCAGTAGCAGTAGCAGTGGCAGTAGGAGTAGGAGTAGGAGTACTAGTAGTACTAGTAGTAGTAGTAGTAGTAGTAGTCGTAGTCGTAGTCGTAGTCGTAGTCGTAGTCGTAGTCGTAGTCGTACGGTGACTGTTTTTAAATATGCG